GTAAAATGAAATAAATATTGACACGGACGGGATGCTATTCAATTTGTCCTGATCACTGGGCTGCGGTGAGTTCTGACAGAGCACAGTGTAAAACATAAGCTCAGGATGTAATTTCTGCTGTCAACATGATGTACAGTATGGCTGTGCCAAATACACACCGACAAACTGCATAAGCTCTTGTGGGGTGGGGAAAGGGGAGGGGGTGGGGGGGTTGTGCTGATAATTGGGAAGTGGGGATGACAGAGCAGCATCACCCCGGGCCCCGGGGGCGGTGCGAGAGCCTGGTACTTCACCGCATGCCTGAGAGCCTGCCCGGCGCAGCAAGTGCCTGGGCACGCTGCCCTGCGGCTGCATGCGTGCTGTGCACCTGCAGCCAGCCGCATGCTGCTGCCTGCTTGGGATGCTGTGCTGCCGGCTGGTTCTGGCTGCAACAGCAGCAGCTCCCACTAGTTATTTATGGCTCCGCTGCTCACGTGCGGCAGAGAGAAGTGGCACTTCCAGCTGTTGGTGAAAGGTCTTCAATAACACAGGGGAAATAAATGTGGTGCTAGTCTTGGTTCCCATGCATGGGACCTTCTGCGGCGCTCTGCAGCCCTGGGGCGCTTTGAATCCCGCGGCAGCACGTGCAGACTGCTGCAAGGGCACAAGTGGGACTCGGGGCTCGTGGGTCTGCTGCCTCTGGAAGGGGTCTGTGATGTGGCAGCCAGGAAGAAAGGCGTGCGTGCTGAGAAGAGACGTGACACACACCCTGGCCGTGGCCTGAGGCTGTGATGGAAGAGAAGCGGGCTGAGAATTTATGGGTGGAGAAGAACGCAGTTTGTGGCAATGAGCCTTGCCCCAGCTGTGTCTCCGGGTCAGTGTTTCTAGGTGGCTGGAGCTCGCAGTAGGTTGTGTAGATGGGCTTTGCAGTCTGAGCGTCGTAGAAGTGCATTGAGGCGAATTGTTTTACACCACCCGCATTGCTGCGCGTAGGAAGAGCAGGCGAACCGCTCAGCTGAGCGTAGCTGAACTTTGCACACGTGAGGCAGCTGCCAGCAAACCACATTAGTTCAGAGGTAGCGGTAAGATGAGAAATCTGCTAAATGTAAAAAGCAGCGGAATGGCTGAGACTCTAAACACAAGGTTGTGGTTCCCACAGCAACGGCAGCCCAGCCCATGCACGCTCAGCGGGACTCTCCTCTCCCTGGCAGTAGCTGCTCTGTGGCGTGCTCGGATGCAACAGGGCTGAGCAAGTTGCCTTGGGAACTGTGGGCCAGCTTGTCCACCAGCCGGGGAGCAGCTCTGCTGGAGCTTCACTTGCCCACTGTGGCATCTTTTGCCCTTGCTTCCTCTTCTCCCCCTTGCTTTAGTGTGTGCATTTAAATTGTTGCTTTTACTGGTTTATTGATACCGTTTGGGATGTAGCTACTTCTGTTTATATGCTGTAACACCGTCAAGGCTGAAAGAAAAGGCACAGTGCCCATTTCCGCCTGAGTAGCAGTGCCATCTCTGCGTGCGTACGGGGATGGCGCCAGTACGTGGCTCAAGCAGTCAGGTCGTGGAGGAAATGGGCAGCTTGCAGGTGCCTCTCAGGTGTGAAATGGTGTGATGAGGGGCACGAGGATGGCTCCTACTTCCCTCACGGAGCCAGTGATGATGCTGTTTGTCAGCGTTGATGCTGTTTGCCAGCTGTGTGCCCTGAGCACTGCGTGCTGGAGGCAGCCGGTGCAGCATGCTGCCTCCCTGCCAGCTCGGGCTCTGGGATGCTGACGTTCCTCGTAGTGCCAGGATTCGATGTTCCTCGTAGTGCCTGGATTCGCACCATTGGGCTGGCTGGCTTTCAGCCTCCCCACGTGTTCAGGAGGTCTTCAGTGGTTGCAGAACTGCTCTCTGGCAGCGCTGCCTTGTCAGGCTTCTGGCAGGGCTTTATAAACCAGCATGGAGTAGCCTGGGTGGCACGGAGAGGGTGTCAGGGTGGGAGACTTCAGCAGCTGGTGACTGCCTCTCCCCAAGGCTCTGCTTACACGGTAGTCCTTGACAACATATGCAGATGGACTATTTGTTAAGTTCTCTTTCTGGCAGTTGCATTTACCAGGTATGACCCATCTGTACTGGGACTTTGGACACACCTGGAGGCATTGCCTGCAAGAGTGCTGCAGTGTGGCAAGGGCAGAGATGCTGGATAGGGCGTTCTTCCCACACTTACTGTGTGCCCGGGTGAAGCTGGCCTGAAGCTCTTGCTCTGGCACAGCTCACGCTGTTAAGTTTATTGACATCTCACACTGTCTGGGGAACTTACTCCAACACAGCCACAAATTTCCCAGATGTGAGAAATTGGAAAGATGCTGTTTGTGGCAGTGGTGCGCTATATCTTGTTATATGTATCTTCCATATATCCATGTAAGCGTGATAAAACAGGTTTATATGTGTCCTGTTGTTGTCTTTGTGAGCGTCTCGCTCTGAAGTCTGCTGCAGGCGGGGCAGCCTCAGCTCCGTTGCTCCAGAGCAGGGACCTTTATATCTGTGTTTGATCGATGAAGGATGCGGTTATTTTATCCTGTGAGACTTCTAACAGTGCAAAGGAGCGACTCAGTCTGTCACCCATCTCCGGGTCATCTCGCTCCCCTGGGTACAGGCTCCAATGTTAAATGTGTTGGTGTTTGATGATAGGGGTTCCCACCGGGTTGGCAAGAGTAGCTGATCCTTCAGGAGCGGTGGCAGGAATGGCTCCTGCGTGGGGAGTCCTGACTGCGAGAGGGAGTTGTGCCGTTGGGGATGGTGCGGAGATGTCTTAATAACAAACGATCTGGCAGGGAAGAGGGGTGGGGAGGAATGTTAGTGCTTCTGTACCGTGATTGCTAACACAAAAATACACTGAAGACCCTGTGCTCCTTGGAGTGTGAAGTGCACAGGGCTTGCACATGTGACAGCTGATGTGCATGTGTGCGTGGAGTATAGCATGTGTACATGGAGGGGAAAACACATGTGTACATCCAAATGAGGCACAAATATGGGCAAAAAGAGAGCATTAGTGTGTATGGGTGCTCTGAGCTGTGCATGGGATGGAACACAAGCGTGAGCTTGTGTGGGAATAGATTTGTGCACATGGTATGACGCACTATTTGTGAATCATGAGGAAGCAGTGCGGAATGATGCCTGGTGCTAATGCCCCAGGTTTATCAGTAAGGGTTTGTCCAAACAGGCAAATGCAGAAATGATGGTGCCGCTCACTGGATGCTTTGGGAAACTGCCCTGTTGGTGCGGTCACACTAGGGGAATGGCAAGTGCAAGGAAGAGCAAAGGAAACACTTGCAAGCCGCCCCTGCCCTGAACTGCTAGGGCTGTTTTAGAATCATGCAGGGGCTGTGAAGAGCACAGTCCGATTCCTCTTCTATGGGGAGTAGATGGCTATCTAGTCCAGGATCATCCCCCTTCCGTTCATCCTCTTTCCCCCTCCTATTTAGAGTAACAGATGACAGAAGATTAATTCTGCAAACCAGTGAAGATATGCATGTTTCATGAGTAGTTCTGGCTGTGGCTGGTGTCGCACAGCTCTGGTGGAAGTTCAGGGTGTTGGTGCAGGGAGAGATGGATGCTGCATCCCCCTCCCCGTCCCCCGCTCAGGCCTCTTCTCCCCGGGTGCTCACTGAATGCAATCTACCCTTGGCCACAGGTCTTGTGTCTTTACCCCTAGTGCCTTGCAGGGGTGGCTTAAAGCTTACTCCAGACCCCTTTCTTAAACTGTTAGCTTTAAAGTCAGTCAGGTGGCCAGTCCTTGAAGAGATGCTTTTCTCCTAACCCATGGCTGCAGCAGTGAGATGCTGGGAAAACTAGCAGCAGTGGCTGGACAGCCAGCATCTCCCCACTGTCAGGCGCTGGCATCCCCCGGCACCAGCCTTGTCTGTGCGCACAGGACTGGTGTGGTCTGGCCCTGTGCGGTGCTGGGGGTGCTGCCTACACGTCTCCCAGCAGCACGGGCAGCGATGGTGCAGCAGACCTTAATCCCCTCGGCAGCCAGGGCAGTGTGGTGAGGAGGGGCCCTCGACGGTGGGGCTCCTCAGTCTTGGAGTCCCTGATGGAGCAGACGTCCATAGTGATGGGAGCTCTGCAGCTTGCTGCCCTCCCTTCTAGGGTACCTGCTCTAGCAGGAGCTGTGGGGCTGGGCTTTGTGCTGGGGCACCTGGGGCAGGGCAGGGTGGGAGATACTGACCAAGGCTGCAGGGGCAGCACAGGGAGGGCACAGAGCGCCGCTCTCACACCAGCACTGACACCTTGGCTTTTTCCAGGCTCCTGGGGATGCTGCCGGCTGCCCTGCGCCTCCCTGCGTGAGCCAGCAGATGATGGAAGCGATTGGCATCAGCGGGGCAAAGGACCCTTCGCCAGGTGCTGGGATGTCATCCCCCTGAAGATGGGAGTTACAAATGGGCTTGTAAACTTCACGTGCGGCACAGGCGCCTGGGCTGCCAGACCCCTGGTGCAGTAGCCCAGGGCCACCGCAGGACAGGCAAGACGTTGGCCACAGCAGCTCATCCTGTTACCTTCTCTGTGAAACCGTACGTGGAAAAGCTTCCCTGCGCTTCCCGTGAATGACGGTCGCCGGTGCCGGTGCCCCGCACACGGCTGCGGAGCTCCCTGCCCACTGGTGGGGTGGGCAGCAGGTTGTGCGTGACCCCGCTCCCCAGCGAGACCGGTGGCAGCGGAGCACGGAGCCGTGCAGCGGTGTCCCCGGGGACAAATGCCAGCTGCCAGACTCTTCTCTGGAGACCCAGGAGCAGCCTGCGAGGCACCAGCGCTGACTGCTCCCACGCTAGCAGCGGGCGGGCCAAGTCACAGATGTGACTCCAGCCTGCTGGGACAGGAGTGCTCCAGCTGCAGGACACGGCATGCAGCAGGGATGGGGATGCTCTGCATTGACCGGTGAGCCTCACGCTGCTAGTGTGGACTTTCCTCCTCCTCCTCTTCCCTAAAGGATGCTAGTTGCCCGTCCAAAAGCTACTGCTCATGCAGCCTCCTAGAGTGCAATGGCGAAGGGTCTGCAGGGCTTCTCGTGGACCATGCTGCTGCTGCTCTGCGCCATCCAGGAGCTGGGGGCCTGGGCCATGCACACTGCAGTGGAGGGCCCTGGCCTAGGGCAGCCGGGGGACCCTGCGCTGCTGGCCGGCGGGCGAGTGAAGCGTGGCTGGGTCTGGAATCAATTCTTTGTGGTGGAGGAGTACACGGGCACGGAGCCGCTGTATGTGGGGAAGGTAAGGTAACCCTGTGTCTCCATGGGGCTGTCCAAGCCAGTGGCACTGCAGGGCACGCTGGCAGCATGGTTGAGGCTGGCAAGGGAGAGAGAGTCTGCATGAAGGTTGCTCGTGGGGGTCTGGTTAGCTCTATGGACTGGGATGGCAGGAGCCCGGTCCCTGGCTGGGGGGTGGTGAGGTTAATGTGCTCCCAGAGACTCTAAGGCAGGAGCACACCAAAATTCACATCTACTTCCAGTTGCGTGCTGGGTTCCGGTGGCGTTTGGGGTGGGTGCAAGAAGGGGGGCAGCTCTGGGTGTTGTGGGGGCAGTGGAGGAAGGCTCAGCCCCATCTCTGTGGGCAGACCTGCTGGGCTGGAGCAGAGGTGTGGACTGGGCTGGGCAGGCAGGACAGGCGCCTGCTCCGGCTGGTCCCTGCCATGTCTTGGCATGTAGTAGTGCTGCCACCAGAAGTGCTACTTGGCATGCAGAAGTGCTGCTGTAGCACCAAGGGCCCTCCTGCCCCAGCAGTTGTTGCCGTAGGTGCAACCCTGCCTTTCTGAAGGTGGTCCATCCCTGGTCCTGTAGCCCTTTCAGCGTGGGGATAATGTGCCGGGTTTTGTTTTGTGGTCCCTCCCTGTGGCTCTCTCCTGGTCCTGGAAGGACTGTGCTCTGTTGGACCTGCAGGCTGCAGTGACTGTTTCCTAGCTAATAATCTCTGCAGACTGGGGCTGGCAGGGGACATGTCCCACTCTAGTTGTGGCACGGCAATCCTGCTCTTGTTTGTGGCCAGAGTGAGGTTGTTGGTGTGGGTGTGCGGCTCTTGGAGGGACCCTGAGGGCCAGCACTGGTGATGGAGCTCTCCTGGGGCTTGCCAGGAGCCATGCCCACCAGGTCGGTACTGCGGGCGCCCCTGGGTGCTGGCTGGGAGCTGCACTGCGTTATTGCTGCTCCCGGGGCCAGACCCTCACTTGGGCTTTGCACAGGTGGTGGCACCGATGAACTTCCAGAGAAAGGCACTGGGAGGTTTCAGGCTGGTAACCACCAGCACATCCCGCTCTGCTGTGAGAAGGTGTGGTAGCTGTCACTGGAGCACACTGGTCTCCCCGTGCTGGGAAAGCTCCGATCTCCCTCCAGCAGCCTCCCTTCTCTGCGAGGGGGTGGCTATTCGTGTTGTCCTGCCTCTTGCCGTTGCTTGCACGCCCTGTGGAGAGCAGTGCCAGCAAACCTGGAGCTGCTGGCAGATAACAGCGCCGTGCTGGGCAGGACTGGGCTGCTCCTTGGGAACTTGCTGCTTCTCTGGTGTGTGACCACCTGGGGTGTGGGGAGGTTGGACATGGACCTCTGATCCCTCCACTCCTGGTGTCCTGAGGTTGAAGGAGGATTTTCCCTTGGGGTTGCTGGGCCTTGTCCTTTCCTGGGAGCTGTGGAGAAGCTGCCCTGTGGTTCCTGTGTGTCGGGAGGATGTGCTACTTGTGTATCGATGGAGGCAGTGCTAGTTGTTGGGACCAGTCAGAGGAGCATGCTCAAGCCAGCTAGAGCTGCCCCGGAGGGGACATGGTCTCTCCCCAAGGGAAAATGCCCCAGAGCTCATGCAGCAGGGCTGTCTGGTGGCCTCAGCCGTCTGGCCGTGAGTCTGGAGGAGGCTTTGAAAATGGGCTTCTTGGCTGGGGGCCAGGTGGGATTTCAGTGGTGATTTGTGTCCATTTCAGCAGACACTCGAAAGGCGCACTCCTCTGCCACGGCGCTCGATGCAGTTACAGCTAATTCACAGCTCCCCTGGGATGCGACTCGAAGCACAAGGCCCTGTCAAACTCCAGGGGTAGCCTAGCAACCGCCTCATCTCCAAAACGAACCCAGGAACCTACAACTAACCCATTTTACAGCCCCTTTCCACACCATTCACCTCATCACCCGCCCCGCTCTGAATAAACAGCCAGCCGGCACGGAAAGCCGTTCCCTGTGATGATTATCGCTCCCGAGGGCTGAAAGCATCCAGGGACCGGGATTTTCCCTGTGGCTGGGAGAAGCTGGGGTGTCTGCCTGGGGCAGCCAGGGCTGGGGTGACCCCCAGCGTCCCCTGGGCAATGTGCCAGCCCCCCCCAAGCACAGCCGGTGGGTCTGGGACCTTTCTGGCACAGGGGACCCGCAGCTCCGTGCAGTGTAGCCGGGGCTTGCCCTCTGTGGATGCTTCTTGCACACCTACGTGGGCTTTTCGAAGGGCCGATACCATTTCCATAAAATCTGGGTTCTCTAGCTAATCCTTCTTCTGAACTGTAATTTCCCCTGAGGCTGCTGTCAGTTTGATGTGGATTTCTTTGGGTTTTTTTTAAATAGAATTATGGGGTCAGCACTAGTTACAAACTTCTGCGTGTGGACAGATCTATTTTAGATAGAGGAGAGGATTAAAGGGAAAAAAGCAGATTTAATTAAGTTGCTAATATTTAAAGAAAATTGATGAACTCAGGCTTTATGAGTTGGAGCAAACAGAGTGCGCCTTTATTACGGGCTAGTTTTTATTTGATTTTCTTTCTTTTCCAGCCCCAGAGTCATTTTTTATTTGTGCATCTTTGCTTTCTGTTTAATCGCTTTTAATAAGGAATGTGCACATTTAATTTTGATTTAATTATTAGTAAGTAATTAATGGCTTTGTGAAATTCCTGATTGTAGCCTTTTAGGACAAGGAAACTATTTTCCTGTTTAACAAACAGATCAGTCATTTGTCCACCTTCCGAATGGTGGCTGCGGATGCTCTTGTCCTTGGCCGGAGGAGCTGAGCCGCAGGCGGGGGATTCCCGCTGCTCCTGGGGTGCAGCACTGAGCTGGAGGGAGCTCGGGGGAAGGCACAGTGGGGGTCCCGGGGCCAGCATGGGTCTGCACTGTGCCAGGGCTGCCCAACTTTGCTCGCCTGCCATGCCCGGTGGCGGTGGGAGCACGCAGAAGCGCGGCGGTCCCTGAGCCTGCACGCTGTAACGGGGAGGCTGGGCAGGAGAAAGCATCCCTGGGATGTGGTCTGGGCCTGCGGCATCTCCCCTCAGATGTCTGTAGTCTGTTATCTGGCCCTCCCCCATTAGTTGTTGTTTAGTCAAGCAGCACAGATTTAGCTCTTTTAATCTTCCCTTGTAAATCAATCACTACAGCCCCTTGAGCCCAGGCTCCATTTTTCTTCCTAGCGCTCCAGTTTGCAGGGATGCTGGTGTCTGCTCAGAGCAGTCAGCGCTGAGCAAATATGTAAAGAGGAGGTGCTGAGAGCTCAGTGTGGTTCTGGGGAGAGGTGCTGGGTGGTTTATCTGTGGCCTAATTATTAATCGTGAGCCCGGTGTTCAGCAGAAAATTGCAGGTTTCTGTTACCTGCGCTGTACAGACCAGGCGCACCTTTTTCTTTCTGAAAAGCTTGATATCTAGCGGAGCGGTGGTGAACATGAGGGGAGAGGATTATGAAGCAGAGGGGGCAGCAAGCTCTCCAGCAGCTGGTGGGGAGAGCTGGGGCAGGACCACAGGGTCAGGATGCTCCCACAGAGCGGGACAGACCATCCATCCCTGCAGGCACTTTCCAAGAGGTGCTGCCCCAGCAGGTCTGTGGTGGCCAAACCACTGCAGTGGTCCCAGTGCACTGCTGGGCTCACAGCCCCGTTTGCTAGCCGAGCGAAAGTCTCCTTCCCAGGCAAGCCTTGGGAGACGTTTCAACATGGGCAGTAATATGTGAATGTTGTGTAAAATGCATTGAATTGTCTAACGCGTGGGCCCCTCACTCCTGAAATAAATATATAAACTGTATCTAACAAGACAAATATAATGAAGGCGTCATAAAAAAAGAGGCAGCTCTGGTATAAATTCTTGCTGGTAGAGCTGTATGTCTGAAAGGTGGATTATAGAACTGCAGTTTGGAAGATTGAATGGCCCATAAACATTTTCATATTTCATTAGCCGATTAATGGACGGCTTTTTTCTTTCTTTTTTTTTGGGGGGGGGACACACACGACTTTGCTGATTCTAAGCAGAAATTGTAGGAAGCAAATGAAAGCAGCTGATGAAACCTTTCCGGGGGCCTGTCCCGTTATGGATTGTCCCAATTAATGCCCATGCTGCTCTCTGTCAAGATGCATTCTGCCTGTCCGGTTACTGTTAATAGATTTCTCATAAGTGGCTGGATTGTAAAAACCTCATAACTCAGTTTAATGCCACCAATAAAATTATCTCTGGACGTCTGGCCTGGATTCCAGTCAGCTCCTGGTCCGTGGGGAGCTGCTGTTTACCCTTTCTTTTCCTAATTTCAAACGTTGTCTTAATTAGAAAATGAAGCTGGCATTGGCTACAAAAGCATCTTCCCCAGGGTCTGTTTTTCATCCTGAACACAGGCCTAACTCGCCACGTTCTCCCACAGGCTTTGCTCAGGTGGGGGCTCTGGGTGTGATGTTGTGAGGGGTTGACCCCCCCACCCCGCTACTGTGCCAGGCAAACCCGATGGAGATGTGCAGCGAGTGCCTGAGCTTTCGGGCAGGGAGTCTCATCAGCACCGACTGCCCAGAAAACGGCGGGTGGCCGTGGCTGGAGCAGAGCTGGCAGATGAGGATGGGCTTTGGGCAGCTGGGGACGGAGGCTGGTGAGCTGCCTTTACACCCCGGTCTGCTGTGCAGCTTGGGAGAGGTGGTCCTGCACTGCCCAGGTCCTGGGTCCTTGCCCACAGGGAAGCCTTTTTTGGGGGGGAGTGCTGGTGAGTTGTCCTTCCCTTTTCCAGCATCTCCTAACCTCATAGTGGTGGGGTTTGTCCCTCGGTTTGTGGTGTGGGTGGGTAGTGGCAGGATTTGTGATCTGCTGAGCGTATGGTGGCATAGGCAGGACTAAAGTTCCAGTTTGTTGGGGCTTCCTGCATGCACAGGCGTCGTTTGGTGGTACTCTGTGCTGCTCACCGGTGCAGCAGTAGCAGAGGGAGCAGACGGGCATCACACAGGGACTGTGGGCACCTTGCACCAGGGGCTCCGCACCCATGGGGTCTCAGCTGTGGGGGCAGAAGCATGGCCCCAGCCTGCTCCCACCCTCTCCCTCTGTCCCTGGCAGATCCACTCGGACTCGGATGAGGGGGACGGCTCCATCAAGTACACTATCTCCGGGGAGGGCGCAGGGACTATCTTCCTCATCGATGAGATCACAGGTGACATCCATGCCACCGAGCGCCTGGACCGGGAGCAGAAAACCTTCTACACCCTGCGGGCTCAGGCCCGCGACCGGCAGACGGACCAGCTGCTGGAGCCTGAGTCAGAGTTCATCATCAAGGTGCAGGACATCAACGACAGCGAGCCGCGCTTCCTGGAGGGGCCCTACATCGGCAGTGTGGCAGAACTGTCCCCCATCGGTAGGTCTCCTGGGTGGGAGGAGGTGGGGTGGGAAACCTGCGCCTCTCTCCTACCAAACCTTAAGCCCGCTGTACCCCGCAAAACCGCCTGCAAATCCCGGGGATTCCAGCTGTGACCGGAGCCAGGGAGCCAAAAGGGAAAAAAATAAATAAGGTGGCTTAAGGAAAACAAGTGAATAAATCCTCTGAGCTGATTGCCAGCCTGTGGCTGAGCGCTCAGTCTCAGCCCTAAGCTGTGCCCTGGAGACAGGTCGTGGTGGTGCCGGCTGCCCGCTGTGCGTTCACCCTGGTTCCCAAACAGCTCCCTGGCTCCCAAACGCTGCGGGGGTGGGGGGGGCGGGCTGAGCCCTTGCATGCCGAGGGGCTCACGGCTGCCTGTGGTTCAGATTAGCCTGCGCGGGGTTTCTCCCTCTCTGCCTGCCGGTGCCCCAGCCCCTCCTCAGGCCATCCTCTGCATGCTGCTTTGCTGCTCTCCGTCACAGAATCACAGAATGGTTAGGGTTGGAAGGCACCTCTGGAGATCATCTAGTCCAACCCCCCTTGGGCACCCCCGTGCAGCGCTGCCGAGCCCTCTCACCTGACTTCTGGCCTTCCTCCGAGTGGCCAGGCGTTGTTGGCTGAGATTGGGGAATTCACGTCCCCTGTGACAGGAGTGTGGCTTCCCCATGTTATCCTGCCCATTCCCTTCCCACCGGTCATCCCTTAAGTCCGTCAGTGATCAGCCTCGCTGGGATGTGTGCCACGAGGCTGCGTGAGTCCATCCCCCCGGGGATGGCGGAGGGGGACAGTGGGCTTTGTGCTCACCTGAGCGTCGGGAGGCGTACAGGGAGGTGATGCATGAGCTGCACTATCGCTGCCCTCGCCCCCTGTGCTGGCCCGATGGTGGGTTCCCATGCTGCTGAGCATGGCTCGAGTCCAGGGAGAGTGCCAGGTAGATGGGAACAGTCTTTTTTCAGTGGTGCCCAGTGATAGAACAAGAGGTAACGGGCACAAACTTGAATGTAGGAAGTTCCATCTAAACATGAGGAGGAACTTCTCTGCTGTGAGGGTGGCAGAGCAGTGGCACAGGCTGCCCAGAGAGGGGGGGGGGGCTCCCCCTCTGGAGACATTCCAAACCTGCCTGGACGCCGTCCTGTGCCACTGCTGGAGGTGCCCCTGCTCTGGCGGAGGGGTTGGACTGGATGAGCTCCAGAGGTCCCTTCCAACCCTGACCAGTCTGGGATTCTGTGGCTGGCTTGCTGCACTGCCCAGAATGTCACACCATTCCCCATCCACGCCGAGCTATCTGTTATCCCCCATTGACCAGCCGGAGCGTTTAGCAGACTGCACGTGCCGGCGTGCGCTGCGGGCAGGGAACTATAAATCACTGTTCTCCAAAGGCTGCATCACGGTAGAAGACAGCCTGCAAAAGACTGACTGACATCAAAGATAAGGCAGGTCCCCAGCACTGTCAGCAAGGGATGAGTCAGCAAGGGGGAGAGTGACAGTGCCGGGAAGGCAGTGAGCGCAGTGAGGGAGAGCACCAGGGGGTCCGGGCTGGGGGAGCAGGGCTGAGCCCCACGAGGGGCTCGGTGGGTCAGGGGAACTGCCGGGTGCTGCTGTGCTTATGTGGGAAGGTCTGGCTGGAGAGGCATCCTGGAAGTGAGCGCAGGGGACGATGCTCGGGTCTGCGCTGCCTCAGGACAGAGCTCTGTCTCTCCGTGGGTAATGTGCAGTGTATTGTGAGGCTGGTGCGTGGGCTCCGGCAGGTACAGATGTGCAGGAATGGCCCACACCAGAGGAGCTGCTGCCACCTGGATTTCTGTTGACGGATGGAGAACAAGCTCTCCTGAGGCATCCCAAGCTCTCCTTCCTCATCCATTTACCTGCACAAATCCTTTCCTGAGTCAGAAAGTGACCCCTTGAACTACAGCCGTGTGCTCCTGGAGAAATGAAAGGCAGCACGTGGGCAGCAAAGCAGGAGGCATCCTGTTCCCAAAGGGAACAAAGAAATTAAATTAATCTATTTTGCTTGAACAACATTTAAAAAGGAAGGAATTCTCAACTCTGAGTATTAGACAAGGATCCCAGTTCTTTGAAAATCACTAACAATTATGGAGCTGCCTGATCAGACTGATGTGAACAAGACATATCAAAGGAGACAGTTTCTATGCGAAATTGGAGATCAGAGGGAGAAAGAAACACGGTTTCACAACATGAAAGGAGGCGATTCCTGCAAATTAAAATACTCAGAAGTTAAAAGTAAAGAGGAGTGCTGTGAACGGCGTGGGCTGTGCTTCCAAGCTGCATGCGCAGAGAGGGGAGCTGGAGCCAAGAGCCTGTTCTGCTTACCAGGCTGATGTTTGTCCGCCTGCGACAACCTTGGAGCTTTCTGTAGCCTGGCCGTGCCAGGGAGCATAAGGGCTCTTCTGTAGCAGCCTAGCCCTGGAGATGGACCCTGAAGATCTCCCAGGGCAGGGAGAGCTTCACACAGCATCTTCAAGCGCATGGTCCCCTGCAGTTTGAATGCAGAGCTGGAGGGTCCCCACGTGCTGCTGCTGCAAGTCCCCAGGTCCCTCCTAGTTCTCCCTCAGCTTACCAGTGCTTTGGTCAGGAACAGGTAGCGCAAAGGACAGGATGGACACATCCTGTGAAAGCATAAACAAGCAAGCCTGAGAAGTAGCTTTCTCCTCAACCCTTTGGGGTCCAGCAGCTGCCCTGCTCCTCCACTGTAGCCCTGGTGTGGGCACAGAGGGAGGTGGGGCTGGTGATGGACCTGGTGTGTGAAGTTCAGCTCCAGCCACTGTAGGAAGGGCTGAGGATGCAGGACATGGGATGCTGCCTGGGCCAGGGAGGTAAAGTTCAGGACTTTCTTATGGGAAATACCCTGCCAGGCCCCGTTTGTGCGGGAACGCTCCTTTTGTGGCATCGAGGCCTGGTGCAGCTGTGATCGCGGCTTGTTTTTGTGGTTGATATTGGTAGTGATGTCTCTGAGCTGGACAGATAATCCACCCTAGACCCGAGGGGTATTTTCCTAAGGGTGAATGGGGAGCATGCCTTGCTGCCTTCCTGAATGTGGATGGAGGTGATCCTCTGTCCTGGCCAAGCAGGGGTAGGAAGGCAGGGGCTTCCCAAGTGGGTGGTTTTTCTTCTCGCTCATGGCAGCTATCAGCCACAGCTCCCCGATCCCTGCCAAAAGCGCAGTCCCAGCTCCCAGAGGTGGGTACCTTCCTGGGCCGTAACGAGGAATAAAACAAATACGGTCAGATCCGCTCTCTGACAGCAGGAGCAGATCAAAGGACATTATTTGCATAATGAAGGAGTACTAATTGGGAGGGAAAGTCATTTGATTTCCTAGTGTCTAAGAGGGAATAACAAATGAGAGAACGGCACAAACTCTCACAGAGTAGCTGAGAGCGCATTGCAACGTACCTGCCCCTCGCTCTGCGCTGGGGCCGGGGCAGCACGCGTGGGTAGCGGCAGCATAGGTGCTGCTTGAGACAGTGACTCTAACGGGGGACTAAAGGCCTCTCTGTTCCAGGGTCTTGTCCTGACAGCGGCCAAAGTGGATGCTTATGGAGGAGGAGGAGCAGCCTGCTGCTCCTCTTGAAACTCTCCCAGCCAGCAGCCAGTTTCAGCTTGGGGATTTCTGCAGCTGTAGGTGGTTTCCGTGGGTTTAGTCAGCTTCAGTGTCTGTCTTCCATGAACTCATCCAGACTCTCTGTAAAACTCCGCAAAGGGAAAGGAAAAGGGGTTGGTATTGCTATCTGATGGGTCAAAAACAGCAGATGGAAGGTGGCCAGGAAGGTACGGTCGGAGTCTGGGATTTGTAAGGGGCAGCGGTGGTGCTTGGAGCTAACCCCAGCCCACGGAGCCAGGCTGAGCGTGTGCGCTGCCCCTGGAGAAGTCAGTGTTTTCTACAGCCAGAGCACAGACCTGAGGCCGGCACTGAGCTCCTGCGCTTGGAGGAAGCCCATCCGAAATGGAAGCTGGCCTAAATCTTTTACCTGGGCTCCCTCAGCGTGGCAGGACCAGCGGCAAGAGCAGGCTTCAGATGGCTCGTCTCCAGAAACCGTGTCTGCTCTGGGGCTGCTGGGGCGTCAGAACCGGCACAGCTGCTGAGGATGGCTTTGCAGACAGACAGCAGGGCACAGAGCTGCTGGGGAGGCTGTCGGGGAGGCGGGTTTGACGTGGTGCTGCGTGAGGCTGGCAAGGGACGGCAGCTGGAGCCGCAGCGGGGCAGAGGGCTCTCCCTGCTCAGCCCCCATCGCGGGCTGGCGGGGGACCGCTCTGTCTGCAGGATGGAGTCTGAGCTGCAAACCCTATTGCGGCCCCACTGCCGTCCCGTCACCTCGAGAAGAAGCTGTGGGCTAAGAGCTTGCAGGCTGCCCTGTGCCGGCACCTGAGGCTCAACCTCTGCCTGGGTACCCCAGTGCAGATCACCCCAAAATGCCTGAGCTGAGCAGAGTCTAGCACCAAAGGAAGAGACCTGGAGCTGCAGAAGAAGGTAGGATGGGACCCAGCCAACTGCCTGGGAACTGCAGGAGCTTCACCTTGTAACAAGAGATGCTAAAATTAGCTGTGTTTTGGGCTCCCTTCCTGAGCTCCCTGGGGTCTGCTTAACAGCTGTCTGCCGCACACAGGCATGAGCCCAAATCCGGCACACGCTGCCTCCTGCAAGACAGAGCGGGTGTTGCAGCCCAGAGCTGCTCCTGGGCTGTTCGGGGAGCAGGCAGAGCCTGGAGTGAGGGACACGGGAGGAAATGTGCATCCTTTCATCAGAACATCGCTCCTTCCCTTGCTGCATTTTGCTCTCCTTATTTCTCTGTGTAGCACCAAGTCCAGATTAGAGGCGATTTGGCTGTACAGACAGAAACTTGGGGTCAAGCCCTGACTCTAGCACAAAGCTGGCTGAATGCAGAAGTGATTATTGTGAAGAGAAATTGTTTAATCTCCACGCTGGAAGCAGAGAAAAATGCTTTATTTAACATGCAGCCAGAACACTTGCAGGCAGTCTGATT